AACTGGTCTTGCATTAATTAGTTCACTCGACCCAGATAGCACTGTATTTTATTTTTTATTTTTAGCTTTTAGTAGAATTTGCTATTGGATTACAAAGTAAGAATTCCAATCAGAGATACATCGCGAATATCGAAACTAGTTTTTGTGAAAATTGTAGATAGTGGGTATTGGTATTGAATATACATAAGTGCTCGATAATATAATTTGATGACAAGAACTTTTTAGATTTTTCGTGAAATCTTTAAAATTAAAAATAATCAAATTGTTAAGGGCAGGTTTCAACAGTTTTTGTCCATATTTTTTAATTATTTATTGGTATATATTTTTATATCCCAAAACTATTATTGATGTGAAAGTTTGTGAGTGAGTGTGCACAGCATCGCTTGGAAAAGAGGTTGATGAAAATGACAAAAAGTCCTTTACAACGTTAGCCTCTTATTGCCGTGATACCAGACTAAAACTTAAGAAAAGCGTTGGTGTTCATGGCATCACAAGGCAGATTTTTTTTATAAATAAAATTACATAGTTTTAAAAAATATTCTTTCCAAAAGATCACCTCAGCTTATAAAATAATTTAAGCTTAGGTTTGCATAAAATTATTTAAAAATTCTATCGACGGAATGAAAATAATGAGCTTTTTGGAGGTATCGGTTCAGCTCACGTAAATCTTATTATTTTGCTGAAATATTTTCTACAAGTTCCGCTACAACTATGGATCAAACAGCTCCAGCTAACGACAGATTTGTATGCCTTGGTGTTGAGACATACTTAATACGTATTTGAAACATTTTCTGTTGCTGTGCAGATAACAACAAAAGCCACTACGTCGTTTTTTAAGTATTCTTGCCCAGTTAACTATTTGGGCGATACAACGCCCACACAGACAATATATACATCATTGTATTATAGATACTCGTACATACATAGTCTCAAAAGAGAAAAACGGATGACTAATACTGCATATTGTGATAAATAATTATAATCATAACTAAAAACTTTCAGACCAAAAGTTGTTGAGCAAAACCGGAAAAAAAACGATCTCAGATGAGATCACTTCTAAGGTTTTTTAAATATGTGAATAAGCAGAATTTTAGGAAAAAAATATATACAACTTTCCCGTTTAAAATATGTACATGTGTACAAACATATAAGTACGTATCTAAATACACAAATATATACGAGTACATACATTTGGCTGCGATTATTAACTGAAAAATAATTTTTGTTGCGAGTTTTCTTCGCTGTTCATTAACCCCATCGCGTTGATTTATTTATGCACCTTTATATGAATATATGTATATACATGTGTACACATCTATGTAAGGACTTTGTACATACAGACATCAACTAAATCGTCTTGAAAGTTTTGCATAGCACTCGTGACACATTTTCGACTTTTCTCTGTAGTAAATTCTTGCACGAAAACTCAGAAAATTTCGTATACATTTTCGCTGAGAAAAATGCCGATGTTCATATGCTGTATGTACGTACATATATACATATGTATGTACATACCCATGTACATTAGGCTTATGAAAAAAATTAAGTTTTGGCGAAAGTTTGTTGCAAAAAGCTTGCGAATTACGAGAAAAAAAATTGTAGGCATACGATCAAAATTTTGTTTCTAACATTTCTTATTTTTTAATTTTTTTTTTGTTGTTTCGGTAAACATGGAATTTTCTATTTATCTATAAATTTACGGAATTTATGGAATTTTCATATCTTTCAAGTCAACCGAACGAAAAAAAAATTAAATTTTAAAAACCGGTTTTTGCGCACAGTCAAAATTCGCTTGACATGGAACTTTCCATATACATATACATATGTACATATCGCAAACCTATGTAAATCCAAAGTGCGATCAACTCAAAAAAAATATTTGGGCGATTTTTTTGGATAAATCAATTCATAGGACCGACATCCAGTTAATGGAAATATTTTTTTCTTCATGATTATATAAATTAACTTAAAAACTACTCTTATACTTGTTTTTGTATTAATTGCATGTGTATCTAACACTAGGTGTGCGATATGTATGTACGTATGCACCTTTTTCAGTACAAATATTTTCTTTCTCGAAGTTCCCTACGAGAACTTTTCATAGCAAATTTTAAAAAAAAAAACGACGCTTCACACATTTGCTAAGTGCTTGGCTGTAGAATAAATGGGAGATCTACATAAATTTCCAGAAATCGAAATACAAAATGATTGGAAGTGGAAATAATAAAACGAATATGATCCAAAACTAACAAGAACGTAGTATGGAACGATTTTCCGTCGTCCCTTGTCAAATTTGGTTTGGATACCACTTCGATTAGTGTGCATAACTATTGCAATAATGTGTAAAAAAAAAATTTTTTAAAATCACAATGGTAGCTCTGAGTATTGCGCAATATTTAAGTATAGTATTATGGGCTGCACTCTACAATAATTTAAGTTATGAATTTTTTTTACACCGAAGTTGAGTAAAATGAGTACATTACAAAATTAAAAATTTTTTTAATTTTTTTGAGTATGCAGTTTTGTAGCTCATTAAAATTTAGTACAACAAAGTGCAAGTTTTAACCGATTGATTTTCTTAGAAAACGGGTTTGCTCAATTTCTTCCATAAGAAAAAAGTGCAAAAAGCCGTCAGCATAAAAAATATTACAAATGAACACAATTTTGCAGTAGCTTAAAACTTCCATTTTATTATACAAAAATCTAAAAAAACATTTAAAAAAAATTTTAATTCGTAATGTACTCATTTTACTCAACTTCGGTGTAAAAAAAACTCATAACTCAAATTATTGTAGAGTGCACCCATAATACTATACTTAAATATTGCGCAATACTCAGAGCTACCATTGTGATTTTTGTTCAATTTTTTTATATTGTGAAAAATTTTTCAAGAAAAAAAATTAAAAATATTTCTTTTCATAGAGAATTTTGAAGTGGGTATTTTTTTCCAATTTTTTCCTTGTCCCGTTCTCGGGATATTTGGAAAACTATTAAATCGATTTGTTTTTTGTTTTTGTGCTGTAAAGTTTATAAAAATGTATTAATCAAGCTCAAATTTCACTTTTGTTTATTATTTATGTTTATGCATCAACCCTAAAAATTTGAAACAAATCAGACACATGAAGTGTGAACCCCGTCCGTTTTGGTATGGAACGCCCCATATACATAAAAACTTTCCACTTACATATGTATGTATGTATGTTTTTAGATCAACATGTTGCACCTAAACACCAAGTGACCTATTTTAATGCAAAGTGCAGACATTAGACTTAAACTTAATGGTAGCAACACAATCTAACTATACTATTTATTCAACGATCTTCCATCATCATTTATTTTATGTATGTTCTCCAATAAAATGGTTATTTCGTACATATGTACATATTTAGTTGTTTAAAAAAAGCTACTGATTAAGTTTTTATGAACTTGCTAAGTCATTTTATGTTATTTTTCATGTCTGAGTATGTACGGGTGAAAGATTACTATATGTGTTCAAACACTATTAATTTCTCGCAATTTTATTTAGCAAATTTGTTGACATTGTTATGGCACAGAAATATTAATGGTGTATTGTCATAAAATATAACATATGCACATATATTACACGCAAGTGCATTAACCCTGCGGTAGTTCTCGTCCTCGCTTCTCATTTTACTGCCAAAATATAGAAAGTAATGCCAATTTACCACTAGGCATTCAAATGGTAAAAATTACAAAAATTTTCTACCACAAATGTCATGTGGTAATAAACAAATTTTAAATAAAATTTTTTTTTCATATAAATCCGGCATAAAAATAAACATAAAATAAATGTATCTATGTAAAACTAAAATCAACTAAATAAATAAATTTTATAAAATCAAAATAAAATATATACTTTGTATAAATAAAATAAAATTAAAATTAAATACAAACAAAAAATTTACTGAAAATTTATGAAAAAATCAAATACAAATAAAAATAAAATAAAATAAAATAAAATAAAATAAAATAAAATAAAATAAAATAAAATAAAATAAAATAAAATAAAATAAAATAAAATAAAATAAAATAAAATAAAATAGAATAAAAAAAAATAAGAAATATGTGTATTAAAATAAAATAAAATAAAAAATATACATAATTAAACAAAAAAAATCACTATAATTAAAATAAAAAATATATATAAAATAGGAATAAAATAAAAAATATATTAAATTAAAATGTGAATAAAAATAAAAATATACTAGTTTTAAAATAAAACTAAAATAAAATGAGAATATTTAATTTAATGAAAACGAAAACGAAAAAAGAAAATTTAATAACACTAAAATAAAAAAAAAAATTAATTAAAATAAAAACATTTATTAAAATAAAAAATATATAAAAAATGTATTTAAATAAATTAGAATAAAGTAAAATCGATTAATATAAAATCCAAAGTACAAATAATTAATAAATAAATAAAATGAAAACGAAACAATATATAAATTTAATACGACGAATGCTAAAATAAAAATAAAATAATATTTAATTGAATAAAGTAGAATTAAATAAAAATAAAATGTAATAACTAACACTATAATAAAGATAAATGAAAAAATATGTATATATTTTTTTCCGTTGGCTATTAGGCCAACGGACACTTATTTATTGCAGAGTTACTTCGAGTACGATGTAGGCATGTACTTTGTATTATTACAACTCATTGATGATTATTGGTTATGTGTATACTGTGCCACCAGCACAATGTCAGTGGGCATAAAGGAAAGCAAACGAAAAATCACAAAAAAGACAAAAGACCTAAAAGGGTTGTAAGAGCCTTGGTTGCGTGTCAAAACCTTATAATTTTTTTTTTTGTTTAACCAAAATAGGAAAATAATGCTTAGCATACCTCAGTAACACAATCAAAATTCATATTGGCTGTAACCAACTGCAAATATTGGTTGCATGTTTGCATGTCTGCCCTTTAATGTGGTGACAAGTAGTTGGAGAAAGTAAAACTGAATTGGATATACATACTCGTATAAAATACATTTTAAGGCACCAAAAACAAAGCAATATCTACTATTTGCCATCACTACTGCCACTAAACAAAATCAAATAGAATTTAATGTTGACCTTCAATAGCAGTTACACAAAAAAAAAGATTATTTTTCATTCATTTCACCTGTCTGTGAGTGGTACGAGTTGTACGCTGTAGCGCCATTGAAAAGTATGCAATCAGATTTATTGAAAGGCGGGCGATAGAACAATTTTTTACTAAAATTTAACGAACCTCAATTTTTACATTATCAAACACTTGTTTTTAATAAAATCAATAAATAAAAATTTACATATAAAAATAAAGTTATTTATTTCTCTTCCTTTGTTCGTTTATTTGCAGGCACCAAAAAAATGGAATACAAGACACGTCAATGGCATGAGAACTGCTTCTGTTGTTGTGTCTGCAAAATGGCCATTGGCACTAAGTCGTTCATCCCTAGAGAGCAGGAGATCTATTGTGCTGGCTGTTATGAAGAGAAATTCGCTACTAGATGCATCAAGTGCAACAAGGTGAGAAGCCAATTTTTCTAAACGAATGCAAATTTTTCAAACTACATTTTTTTGGAAAGCTTTGTATCCAGCTCTTAAGAAAAATCTCAAAAAATAGTTTTTTGTTTCATTCTTTCTATAGCTTGAAAGAGTAGTTTGCGGCAGTGTTGGCAAAATTTTAATCTGATTACGGACTAAAAATTAACGATTAAAATGTTAATCGCGATTATTGATTAAAACTAATTAGTTGTAATCATGTACATATACGATTAATGACGTATACCGTACAAGGGTTTCGTAAGACATAGAAAATCCGCCTAATATAAGAGCGAATACCATGCGTGTGTTGTAATGCCTCATCTCCTTCGTGGCCATTTTAATGATTGGCCCTGCTTAAACCCGATGGACATTTTTGTTTAACTCATCTTCTTTAAATTATTTGTATTTCTTCACCATGACACGATTTTAGATACATATCGTTACCTTAATATAGAAAGGCCCTAACTCATATAGTCGCTGAAATGCAAAAAAGCCGTAACTGACTAAAATTGTTTATTGCTTAAACCGATGTGGGGACTTATATATCGATGAAATGCATCATAATCAATCAAAAGGGAATTTTGAATATTTACTTAGTTACGGCTTTTTGTATTTCAGCGACTGTATGAGTTAGGGTCTTTCTATATTAAGGTGACGATATGTAGATAGACATTAAAATTATATATCTATGCACCAGTGATGGAAAAGTAGGTACAATTGTACTTTTTTCAGCCCTTTTTTAATTTGAAAGTACATTCGGTACACATAGACCTTTTTCGGTACATTTTCAACTCTCTTCTTTTTTAGACATCGCCTACGTTTCTCTGTCATATGGGCAGACAATGATCAGAGATTTGTTAAGGTTCATTTAGAAGCCCCCTACTAAGCCTTAAGAAGCACCAGCGGACAAGAGTTAAGCTTCCTTCGATCCCTTACTGACAGTAAGCTGACTCCTAAACAGGTACCGAAAATAAAATTTATTTTTTTAACAGTCAAACTTGGTCAAATATTTTATAGCTTCGAAGTAATGGCTGTCAACAGTGCCATACCCCCCTTGTTTGTTGCTAAGAGGTAATTTTACTTCCTAGTTCTCCGCCAAACCAATTTCGTTTGATTCTTTCTTAAGATTGAATTGATCAAATCTAATTGCATTTAATGTGAAATAGGTCAAAACACATTTTTAAACATCGATTTATTTACATACATAAATTATATATTTAGTAGACCTCTCAGAAGCTAAATCAACATCTTGGCGGCATACGAAGATACCAAGCGAATGCGAGATCCTGGTTTAAATAGAGGCTTTGGGCGAACAAATGCTTCAGAAGCACTAAAATGATTCCCCTTGTCTAAATCTTTGTTTGGCCTCGAAAATTTCTTCCAGTTTTAACAGATCTCAACGTATTATAGAACGCAATCCCAAAATCATGCGTGGCATATTTTCGTCATATTTTCTTACTGTTGAACAGGTTTGACTAGATGTGAAATGTGTAACTAAATCTACATACAAATTTTTTAGGTAAATTTGTCTGCTGTTAGGTACAATTTTTTCCTCAAATTAAGTACAATTTGAAAATTGTATTTTCCATCCCTGCTATGCACCCCAAACTAGAGATTTATTATTTGATTTTAATATTTTTTCCCTCAGTGTAGTTGAATTTTCTTTTACCTACCAAGGCAATCACGTTTCTCAATGTACTCTAGGGCTAAGGATTATTTGATTTCACACAATGAGAGAGCCTTGGGGACCTCTTGACTATCACTTATGATTAGGATCCTTTCTCTGCAGGATATGACTTTGCTTTTTCAAATTCCTCACTAGAAAAATTTAGTCAAATTCGTTTGGCGGTCTCTTTAGTAGTTAGTTGGAGAGGTTCAAGTACGGAATAACATACTTAGAACGCTCTCGTCGAACACATGCCCCTCTCTCTCGTTATATGTATATACACGTATCCGTCATTGTAGCTTAGTGAGTGATTTCCCTCCCTGGCTCGAATGTCCTTGACCTACCGCCTGCTTTAGGTTATACAAGCATCTAAGGTTTTTGGGGCTGCAACGCCATGACTTGCCTGAGTTTGGTGTCCACGATTACTTCCAGATACTTCACCTCTCTGGGAACGATACTCGCGAATTCATCCGGAGTTATGTTCCTCCTGCCCGACAGAAATATTTTTTATGGTAAAAGGAATAAGGACTATTTTTGTGTGGCTTAAGTTCAGCACCAACTTCGCACACCATTCCTTAGTGAGTTGTAAGCCTCTTTATACTATATATGTATGTAATAGAATGCAATGATACTATGTACATACTTCACCCACTTCTAAGCTCCGTAGGAGAAGAGCTAGAACCCTTCTGTGCAGGTCGCGCTTTTTAGTCTTTAGTTGTGACATGCCCCCGACTAGTCCGGCTTCAGAAATTTTAGTTTCAAACAGCCATTACGCGGGTTTTTAACCTATCGTCCATAAACGAATAATACAGGGTCACATTTATATTCCCGCGAAAAGCATTTTTTAGATTTAAATCTATACTCTAGTTGGGTACCCAATACTTGTCCCAGATACTTTCCTTGTAAACTCGGCTACTTCCCTATTTCCCGGAATACCGCTATGCCCGGCACTAAGTATGTATTGGCGATTTGTTGGCAAAGAGTAGTATGTAAGTTTCTTTTACATTCCTGAAAACACGTCTCGAGTTAGTCGTAGCCATGGACTTTGGCGCTGCTTGAGTATCTGCAACGAATGCACACTTTTTTGCAACCATGAAAAAACTTCTCATAAAAAATCGTTTGTCATTCGGAGGCAGCGTGAAATTGTAGGTTCCTCCATTTTTTTTGCAATATCAATTGCCTCGCTTCTTTGCGAATTTGAGCCAGCTATTCACTGGCATGTGCAGACAAGTTTTTGGGAACTTTATCATGCCGTTGTGCTAACTGGCGCCTTTGTTTCACTGCCCCCACATGGGTGCCGAAACGAAGAATATTTTCACCTTAGCATTTTCATTCATGCGAAAAACACGCCCTAGCCATCGCAATCGCTAGACCATTCCGTATCCCCGTCGCCCACACACGAATTGGGCCATACTAGAACTGGCGTCGTATAGAAGTTCTCTCGAATACCACCACGATTTAATACAAAAGATCAGAGAGTAAATCAAATAAGTTGTTTTCACAAAATTTTATTAAAGTTATTTCTTCATGCATTCATAACAAACTTATATTTTTTTTAATTAATATTTCAGGTAATCACCTCAGGTGGTGTCACCTACAAGAACGAGCCATGGCATCGCGAATGCTTCACATGCACCCACTGCAATATCACATTGGCCGGACAACGCTTCACCAGTCGCGATGAGAAGCCCTACTGTGCCGATTGCTTTGGTGAATTATTTGCCAAACGTTGTACAGCATGTGAGAAACCCATTACAGGTAAGATCACTCACTATTTTCCAAAGCACTGCTTCAGTAAAATTTATATTTTTTATAATCGACAGGCATTGGCGGCACCCGATTCATCTCGTTCGAAGATCGCCATTGGCATCACGATTGTTTCGTGTGTGCCAGCTGCAAGACCAGTCTAGTCGGACGCGGTTTCATCACCGATGGACCCGATATCATTTGTCCCGAATGCGCCAAGCAGCGACTTATGTAAGAATGAGGACGTCAGCTATGTTGTATGTGAACCTAAGTGAACATGCATAGCACGTGGCATGATGCTCTCTATCAAGTTATTAAAAAAAAACAATGGAAAATTCAATTGAAAAATCAGAAAAAACGAAATATAATAAAGCTTACAGAAAAATTTATGTAATTTAAAAATTCAAAAAGATCAATGAAATATTGAAAAAATATATATTAATTAATAAATTTATATTAGACAACCTTATCAGCCTCGAAGCGAAAAGGCGTGGAACTCCTTTTGAGCAATAAAATATTCATATTCAGCAGTGAGAGAAAAAAAATTAAGTAAAATAATTTATGTAAAAGAATTGATTTATCTACTAGCTGTTAGTTTACTTAAATTTACAAAAAGCTATAATTGTTATAGATATCAGACACATAAGCTGAATTATACAATTTTCTAAAAATCTTATTAAAAATGTATTTGGCTTAAAACTATTTGCGTACTTAGGAAAAAAAATTGGATGTGGATACTCCGCGGTATGTATATGAAATTATTTTTGAGAGAAGCAATGAATGGGCATTTTAAAGTTAAGAAAAGTTACAAAACACAAACAGAAGCATGCAATTTTAAGATCATAAGAAACAAATTTAAAAAGTAATCGCCAAAATCTCCCTTAAATCTGTAACTATTTAGAAAGCTTCATATAATCACAGCAGATAAATGCTTACCACTAAGCCATTTTGTTTTTGTTATAAATACCTATGTACATGTTTAATTGCATGCAACATAAGAATGCCACAAAATAATCTACTTAATTTAAATGATTGCAAAGAGCCTTAAAACTTGAAAAAAAAAATAAAAATAATTAAAAAACAAAACTAGTATTTTTTTAAGCTTCTTCGAATTAAATTCAGACAAAAGCACAATTCTTAACCCTGGGTCTTAGCTATTATATTTAATTTAATAGGAACACAGCTCAATTTACGAATGATAATAATTTATTAATTTTCTGTTAAAATATATATGTAAATATATATGTATATATATTTGCATACAATTTTAATCCTAATTTATTTTGGTTTACTTACAAAAACATAATAATTGTTTGTTCATTTCTTTAAACATTAAAAAAAAAAAATATTTCTTTCTATCAACTATGCTTGTCAAAACAATCCTAACTAATTTAAATTAATTTAGTTTAGTAATAAATTTTGAAATTGTCATTCAAATGAATGTACTTACATATTTACATACACATGTGCATAATTACGTGGCCTGTGCCCTTAGCTTCCTATAATTATGTGCATACATACAGGCGAATGCATGTACGTATTTTACTGTAAGATGTGAGTAGATTCTATAACAACAATTGATTGTAAATGCTGAAATAAATCAAAATACTGCGAAACCAATTTTGATGTAATATTAAAATATTAAAAATGAAATAAAGAAATAAACAGTAAAAATGGAACTGTACTTTTTTTCGGAGCTTAGCAGTGAAGCAGAGCACAGGAACCAAAAGCAATTGCATATATACATACATAATTTAAGTTGGAGTGCTGCTTACCGACCTTCTTAACCCGAGTCTGCCCAATACCTTTTGGGAATAAAATTCAAAAAGTCGGAGAAAAGCATTCAAATTTTTATTTTATAAAATATGTTTGGTTGTTGTTGCTGATTCAAATTAAAACAACAACAACAAACAAACAAGCAATTCTTAAGCAAAAAACACAACCGACTTCAATTCTCATAGGAGTTTAGGAGTACCGTTAATTTTTTCATGATCCAAAGTTCGGATGTAAACCAAATTAGTATGGGACCACCTGTGAGACACTACCTTCCCTTTTCCAAATCGGATGACGTAGTCCAAAGTTATGCGGTAACATATGTACATACATAAATAAAAAAATATTCCGATGAATTGATAACCTTCTCTTTTTTTTTAGGTCGGTTAAAAATTCATTCATTAAAAATTTTATACATCTTTTACTTTTACCCATCGTACAATTCCATAAGTAACGTAACTCTTCTTCTTACCGTCTTTTTTTCTGACAGGCTGTAGGTGTGCGTTTGGCAGACTGTAGGTGTGTTTTTGGTTGGCGTTTGGTGTTTTTAATTAAGTGTGTTAGTGTATTTTGAATAAATATCAAAAAACAGGTGATCTCAGCTGTAAGCATTTTTTTGGCAATCAGCTGAGATTGTTTTAACTTAATAAGTGTTCGCACGAAGCGATTTTGCTTTCAACTTTTGCGTTCAACTCACGCAGGGTTGCACGAAAAAAAAGTTGAATGAATAAGGGCGGTATTATCACTTGTGAAAGAAATGAATTTGGCGAAGCGAACGGTTTGACGAAGCGAATGGGTTGAAGGACGCAACTTAAATATGCATTAAGAGTGTTCGCTTTTACCAGCTTGTGCAAGTTCTTTGCGTCGCGAACACTTTTAATACCTTCTCAGCCTTTTAATTCGCTTCGCCAAACCGTTCGCTTCGCCAAAATCATTCGCTTCGCAAGTGATAATACCACCCTATATGTTGGCTGGCGACCAACTTTGTAAAGGCGATTAGTTGAAAGGCCGTTCAAACAAAAGTAGAATGCAAAGTTTAACAATGCAAACGCCTTTTTATGGCGAATATTTTGATATTTTTAGCCATTCATTTTTTTTTCGTGAACCCCCGGGGTGGATTTAACGCAAAAGTTGAACGCAAAATCGCCTAGTGCGAACGGCCTTTTAGGAAACCGTACGATGCTTTTACCATTGAACAAACAGCTAGGTAGGGGGAAAATAGGACATTTTCAACTCCAAAAGCTTTACGACAGGCATGCCCAACGCCGGCAGAACTCCATAAGCAAGTGCCCTGCGCTAGCAGAACTCAATAGGCAAATGCCCTGCGCTGGGCATGGCTGCTTTAAGGCCCGTCAGAATGGGTACTTATTCGTCAATAACGGAAAAGTATACGAAGGAAGTGGCGTAGGTACCGTAGAGATACGCCACAATGAAGGTGTTGCGTCTGCAAACAAAAGTCAGCTGTTCCTTATGGCCGCGTACTTGGGATCTACACAAGTCAATTTTTCAGATACAATAGCAAAACATTCACATTTTTTTTACTAATATCTTCCCACTTCTCTTGATGTCTTCATCACTGTCTCTGGCTTTTCGAAGACAGTTTGTTGTCTGTATGCCTTCTTTACTCAAACAATGGCTGCATTTCTTTATTCATTCTGAACGTTTGGAATAAACTTTTTTGTTTATTTATTCTTTAGAACGTTCCTGATGATATGTTGACGTATATTTCAAACGCATTCTGTTTATTCCGGCTGTGAAATGGGATTATCCGGAATGTATAAAGAAATGCAGCCAATGTGTAAATTATGTGCATATTCTCATTGGTCTTGTCATGTGTAAACGCGGGGCTATACAACTGTCAGCAGTGACGGACTAACGGCGCGTTTACATTGGACAATGCTGTCAAGACAATGAAGATATACGTATTAGTTGTCAAAAACGCATGCATGGAAAAGTATGCATGTATTAGTGAAAAAGTGTACATGAGTTGCTATTGTCATAACAGTATTGTCCGGTGTAAACCCTAAAGCTGAAATTAGTCAAGAACGTAAACCTACCGGTACGTAAACCCGAGTCAGCTGACACGATCAGTCTTACCAAAGCGCCATGTAAATGAAAACTCAACATCGCAGAATTTTTCTGTAGTTGTAGCCCGTAGCGCAGAAATCTGCGGAATTTAGATTTTTCCGTGTCACTTGATTTCTCCTTCTTTAGATGGTTGCCACTTCGTCAGTTTTGCAGATGGTAAAAAAGTTATAAGTTCCTATTCTAAATATGTTTAAAATATTTGAAATTTACTATTAAATAAGGTTTTTGTTGAAAACTAAGTAGTTTATATTTAGCTACAATCTATTATAGCACGAAAAATTGTGGTTGAAAGGGTAAGTTTATGAAAAGGCATTGAAGAGTGGCAACAGTGTAGTAAGCAACACTGAGGGCTCCAGTAATCGACAAAATTCTGCGTTTACAGACTGCGTTTAAGTATACGTTCTGCGTTCTCGACTAATTTCAGCTTAAGTTAGGTGCGTCAAAAGTTCACTGTTGGCCAACGTTCGTTGGGTCCGTCGACGCAAGGGTTGCCAATCTGACGCTCTCTATGCAAACACACACAAGTTTTGTTCCACACGCTTTCCGGGCTGCTCCGGTAATTAGAGCGTAAAAATAAGTTACTCTCTCAAAAGTGTCAAAAATATGTCAACACGTGCCAAAAGTGCCTAGAGCGTGAGGAACGCAAAAAACCCCGGGTTGTTTTCGTGCACAAAGAAGAAGGGAGGACCAAAGAGCAAACGAGAATAAAAACGATAGCAAATTAGAAAACGTAAACATCCACTGAGAAATCGGCTGTTGGAGTACAACTCCACAACAAGCTTTTTCATCTGTTTCATTTTTATTCTCTAAGTTCTACGTTCCGTTAAGTTAAGTTAAGTTGCTATAGTCAGGGTTTTACAGATTTCCACAGTTTATGCCGCCAAAGCAAAAACAAAATACATGTAAATCTTTATTTTTGTACTCCTGCTATCACCTTATATTAGGTTCTTTCCCGTACAACCCGGATCCGGTAATTAGAGAATAACCGAAAAATTTGCTCTCAAACATGGAATAATGTTCAGAAGAACGCGAATGGAAGAAAAAAAAACTTCGTGCCCAGAATTTAAGAAATAGCGGTTCTTGTTATCGATACTTCAATGCCAACACTTACAAATTGAATTTTGATTTCAATGGGCGCGTTCATAAGACGTAGCTGTTGCTCAACCGTTGGCTATTTGTCCTAGAAACGCACTGTTTAGTAGTTCCGCTCAGCTCAACAGTGGGCAACTTTCCGCAATTCTTTTTCATTGGAAAATTTTTACGCTACCTGAAGTCAACGTGTTGGGCTTAGCCTAAACAGTTTATCGAAAAGACTTACGTCGCTAATATTAAACTTAACGCCGCTTTGTTAGGTGGCTGTTGTAAACAAATTTATTCAATTTTATATTACTGATGTGATAAGTAACTAGAATATTTTATAATAATACTACGTTTTTAATAAATGTTTTTTAAGATGTTTTCTATAACACTATTTAATTCATTATAACACTGAGCAATTTTTTCAACACGGCGGTAGCTCATCGCTGAATTCTAAATACTTTCGGCACAACTATCTATATTTACTGCAATTTCATTTGTTTCATTTAACAGCTGTTTAGTTGGCAGCATTTTCATCAAGCCGTTTCTAAGACGTAATTGTTGGGTTCAACAGTTGCCAACAGTTTCGTAGCAGATGAACTAAACACCTAGGTCTTATGAACGCGCCCATTAATAAAAAAAGTAAATAAAGATGGCAAATACATTTAATCACAAAACAGCTGATATGCACTTTGACACTTTATCAATTTTACCAGGAGAAAAAGTCCGGGCTGTTTCGGGCAGGAAGAAGAAGACACATACGATCCAATACGTTCCAATTTTCGCTCTTTGTTACCAATTTTTTGAGTACGGAAATGATTTCTGGGCTTTTTTGGGCACCACGAGATCCCGCGTTGCGTTTGGGAAAGAACCTACTGTGTCGTTATAACGCTCTTTGTGAGGGTAGTTCTCTCAATTTTCCCATTCTTCTTCTTAATATATCTGGTATCTTCTTATTATTATCTGTTAGAAAAGAAAATATACAAAGCCAAAAATTCGCCTTGAAATGAACCAAAATTAAGCAAAGATCACGTAATTTGTTGGGTACAAAGAAAAATAAAATAATAACTGTTCGGCTTATGTTTGTGCTAACCGATTCAAAATACGCGCGTGAATTTCAAAAAACGGCATTGCTTTCGAATCTTATAATATAACATTGCTTTGCGAACGCATTGCGTTGGCACCCTGCAATCCCTGCAAACTTCGCTGTACGAGACAACCGACATATCACTGAAATTTCAACTTTTTCTGTCCCTCTTTCTCTGCCAGCAAGAATCGTCCAACACAATTCGCAGTGCAGGAAAATACTTGAATTCGGAGTAAAATTGCAAATAAAAAATAAGTTTGGAATATACGTGTTTATTTTTTATGCAATAAAAAATATCAGGTGCATTATTTAAACAGAATATATTCGAACTCGATATAAATACGAGCAAACACAATGGTATTATCCGAAAATGAAAAGGTGAGTGATATCCGGACATGACAGCATGCGCCGGATTTAACAAGGCACACGATATATTAAATTGTTTTTTTCTTTTACCTGGTATCTTGTTAATTGACGCGGCTATGAATGGCTGTGTTAAATACTGTATAAATTGTCACATAATAGGCAAGTGCATTGCATTTGATAAGATTTTGCCTCGTGCCACGCCGCCTACAGATCTAATTGGAAATAAGATCTCATGCACCAGTTAGATAGTTCTGTGTATGTGGAATGTACATATGCACATACGCATGTTTATGACCTCAGTTGGCCTAAACATGCATATATAGCTCTAAAAAATAGTTTTCGTATACATATATATGTGTTCAAAAATATTTGGCTTGCTTCACTATTATTGCGCCATGGACTTCCACTATCAATCAAGGTCACAATGTGGAAATAAGGTAAATATGTTCTGTTATTGTACGAGCTATTCTACCTTACCGTGGCAAACTGCATTTTTATCAGCCATTGTCAATATTCTACTTCAGATAAAATGACCGAAGGATTATCTACCTTAACATTTTCTTTTACAATAAAGTGCCTAGTATATACTATGAAAGAATGTCACATAGTGGGCAAAGTATCAATAACTCCAAAGAGAATATGCATATCTGTGTTCGTATGTCGGGAAGCTGGCTTTAGTATAATGCAACATTCCTTTTATTCTTTAGACGACAAGGATTTCTTGCTCGTTTATTTGCCAAAAGTTCTTCAACGTCTCGGCGCCAGAAAGCCATTCGCAATCGTATGCTGCGGATGTCGCATTATATTAAAGCGAGCCTTTCGACATAAGCTACTGTTCCATATGAACACGGATATGTATGTACGTAAAATAATTTTATCGTTTTGTGTTCATACTGATACTTAAGTTTAAATTAATGCATATAAATCTGAAAAATTCGTGTCAGTAGTCATTACTCTCCTCCAGATCATTTGTATTTGAAAGGCATTTACAATTACCATTTCTAATCATTAAATATATCCAGTTTAGAACATTAAGGTTTTCCTGGAAAATATGTGATTCTATATTAGCCATAGTCAACCTCACAGGGCCTTTGTCACTTGCCAGCTTCTTCTTCCGTCTCTGTGAGTTTGAGCCCAAAGAACCGTGCTGCAATTATAGATGCAGATCATAAGGCTTCTGATATCATAAACATAGAGTTAAAGGAGCACGCGATGAGCTGGATAGTGCTTAAGGCATTTGTTTGCTCTTTTAATAAGAACAACCTTGTTTCTCGTTCGAATTTTTTTACGGGGAGTGCCGTTAAAGAAGATGCTATGAACCGCCTCTTCAAACATTAGCTGCAAAAATGTTGGCGCCATGGACTTCCACGTTAAGATTTAGCCTGATATTAGCCATGTGGTGAAAACTTTGGAAATGTACATACATACATATGTGCATATATCGCCGGCGAATCGTCACAGTGACCCAGTCCAAAGATAGATGGTTCTGCATTACCTCGTCACCATATCATAGGTTTTGTTGTGATGGTCCGTGACTGATATGTAACCATTGCCTAAAATTATTTATATATGTTGAGACAGCATTTTAATTATAAATTTGCAGTTACCTTTGTAGCTTCTAAAATTTTTCTTTAGAAACCTGGGCATTTGTTTAATTTGCGTTGGCAGACATTTAAAATGTAAAAATAAACCAGAATTTGTATAGTTATAAACATTTATTGTAGTCGCTATCTTTCCATAATATACTCCCTGTTGATTTATCAGTCGATTACTGATAAAGAGAAAATAATAAAAAAATATTTTGGTCACAAAGTTTCTCAAAGAGCACAAAGAGTGGCATGACTCACGTGTACATATGTATGTATATGCTCTTTTTGACCTCCAAGAGTGTGTTTGACTTCTTCTCAATACACTTCCCCTTCTTCCTCATGCAATACCCATTTACTTAAGTCCATCAACGCTGGTTCTTACCTTCCATGGAGTGCCAAAGGAAGTCTCCGCTGAAGCAGCCTTCGCTTTCTTTTTTTCCCGTTACTTTGTTCCCCGATTCCAGTGTGTGTGAATCATATGGGTCGAAACAATTTCTTTGTACGAGTATACTGCACGTCCAGCGTGTGTTTGTTTTTCTTTTGTACGAGTTGCTTCGCTTGACCATCCGTTTGCTATGAGAGTACGTCGCACTTTGGACGTATGAACGTAAAGAAAAGATCTAAAAGAATTGGTGCTAAAAGAAACAGTACCAAGTAAAGAGTATTATAAAGATCCGAAAAATAAAATTACAAACAAGTTTAGCAGAGCGGGTATTATTAGGGGCAGTGGCGTGTAGAGTGTAATGTATAAATTGAGTACTAGTATGCAGGCATGTGTGTACATAATATGAATGTGTAAATATGTACTCATATACATACATACATATTGCAGCGCAGCAGTACATATAATGTGTGTAATATTTATTAAAATAAATATTATTAATAGCATAAGAGAAAAACAGTATCTGATAGAATACAGTTAACCGCCCAGACTTTCAATTCCTTCATCACACAGATTATCGACTCTGCCTAGTATGATTACGGTTTTAGTTTACTTGACTTGTTTTAGTACATACATACTTAGTTGACGTTATAACTATGTACATATACATATTGTGTACACATATGCACATACTAAGTGCATATGCATCGTGCTTTGATTGGCTTAATTAGTATTGCTGTTAAGGAAACTTTTTAATAATATGTATATACATAAATATGTATGTATGTAAGGATATACATACATACAGACATACATACCCTGCAAACCAAAGTTCCCGAAATCTTAAGGAAATCGTTAGGAGTATCTCATTTCTGTAAATATTTTTTTACGAATCTTCAAAGAAAATTATATGAAGGGGATGACACGAACTCGTAAAGAAATTTCTGTACGAAAAATAAAGAAAATTCTGGAAAAATTCTGAAAGATATTCTTCACATAGCAGCATTATTTTCGTTGCTTCACAGATTTTCTTCCGAAATTTCGTACAAGAATGGAAGTGTGCGTAATTTATTTCATTTTAGAAAATTCGGCAAAAAATCGAATTAAATCTTAACGAATTCTTTAAAATTTCTTTACAATGCAGAATACTCTGAAAAAATGGTTTGCAGGGTATATAAATATTTATAAAACTGTTAAAAACCTTTACATATGTTTCCCGGGTTCCTTTATCAACAGTTAGAAATTCTTAAAGGAATTTTTTTCATTCCTCTGATATTAAAAAAGGTTCTAGAATAATATTCAGTACTCATTCCTTCCACTTCATTCAATGTACAAACATATTTACTACTTATTTTCCCTATTAGCAGGTTTGGATGGAGTTTGTGTTGAATTTGCGATCCTTTCTGGCATCGCTTTAGTAACGTAGAACCGATCACCGAAGGATCGAAAAATACTTTGTATAATCACAAAGCGCCTGATCTGTATTTACATACATACCCACACTCGCTCCAAATCGAAAGCTAAACGATCGTCTACTCTTTATAAGAACGTCACCGAGGAATATAGGTACATAAAAATATCTCGTTCCAATTTTGGATTGGACTACTGTGCATCGTTTTGGCAGCCAAATATGTACATACATACATATGTATTTATGAAGACATGCACAGTCAGTAAGACGATATCGCCGCAAAATCGAGAACAAAAAATATCATACAAATCGCGTTGCGATCTCTGGAGCTTAGCTTTCTGATATTTGACTACCTGACTGTTTGCCAGCTAGCTTGCTCTATTGTCCGACTGAACTCTCCCTCTCTATGCATAGATATGTATTCCCTCCCTGCCTAACTAGCAGTCTACGTTCAGGCAGGTTTGGCTCTTCGTGCTATATACTTATGTATATAATATACATATAAACTTCATATATGTAAGTACATTTGTATGGTATTTGACTGCTTGCTCATTGTTTAGTTGCCGTCGCGCCGGCCCGTTTTAATCACTTTACTCTGCGCTCACTGCGCATACAGTACTCGGTGTTCACTGTTCGTTGTCGTTGGAAGAAAAACACTTTTTCGAAAGCATCAAGTTTGCCTTGTATTTATGTGTTCAAATGTGAAAAAAATTATTAAAAAATCTTCTATTGGACTTTTAATTAAAAATTTCGTTTCACTTCAGTTTGTTTCGTTCACAAAAATTTTCTCTCAAAACAAAAAATAAAACAACTTGATTTGGAAATTGCAAAAACCCCGATTAAATAAAATTCGTGAAAGCCAAGAACCGATTTCGTAGCCGAATTGCTATTGCAAAGCATAAGAAGGAAAACACAACAACAACAAAAAATACAGCGATATTATATTTATACGTTACCAAAAGAAAAAATAGAACACTGCTGTCGCACAACTCAGTGAAGAGCCACGCGAGGCCATCGAAGTAGTTAAGCAGCAATATCAGCAACGCCTGTCACAAAACATACAATATAGTAGTGGACCGCCAATATACAAAGTATACTGAAGCATCTGCTGCTTATAAGTCAGCCAGTGATCGAGTAATAAATCTTGCTACACGCCAATACTAAGTAAAAAGGCCAGTGAAACCAATTACAGCTAGAAAGCAGAAGCACAAGAGACACAGTCTCAGCTCCGATTGGAAGCTGAGAAGTAGAATTGTAGGAGTGAGCACTGCTGGTGGTGAGACTTTGCGATTTGCGTCTCTCGGCCTGCAACAAAAGACAACAACTGTTTCTTGCTTTTGCAATCACTTACAGTATTCGCGTATCGTTCAGCACACTTTCGCTTTTAGCAGCTACTTCAGGCATTTGTCATACACCGCCCCTCCCTCAAGTTGAAAAAGCCCCAACAAATAGTTGTTTGCTACTGTGCATTTGATTGATTGATATTCGTGGCATGATGTTTCAGAGCGACTTTCATAGGAAGAAAAATTTCGCAAATCCTAATTTGTTCAATGTAATTAAATTATTTTTCCCTTTTTTGTTTTAGTTAAAAATTGCAAATAAATTTTAACTTCAAGCTTTGTCATGTTATTTGCAGAATTCCACAACTGCGGAGAACGCTGCGCCTGTTGCTCAGCCAACACCCGCTAGTGGTCGTCCAGATGCGAAGGAGGAAATCAAAGAGCAAGAAGAAGTGCGTACGGAACACCTCTTCAAACACCCTCTGCAAAATACCTGGACTTTGTGGTACTTGGAAAACGATCGCTCGAAGTCATGGGAAGACATGCAAAACGAAATCACCAGCTTCGATACAGTTGAAGACTTTTGGAGGTGAGTAATGCCAATTAAATACAATGCAAGATAGATACATTTCTTTATTTAATTATAATTTATATATTGTGTTATAATTTCAAAGTAACCACTATATCATACAAATTTTAAGCTGTATAACAACAAAAGGTATTGCCGGGTGAAACTCCTTTGCCATTAGGTATACTTTAGCTTAATTAGCTGCAACGAGGACACTGCGATTGACCATTTAATCTGTTAACAATGGCGCTTGAAACATTCTGAATGCTTGGTTAAGTTACTTCACCTATTAGTTCAAGAACAGCAATCGACCTCCGTTAGTGTTAATCATGGAAAAATTTTCGATGGAAACCATCTTTTTTAGATTAGTTTAGAAAACAAAACTGTGTTATTACCGCTTTTATTTTTACATTCTTAAAATTGGCTTATTTTTTGCCAATTTCTTTGACATACATAGTATTTAAATTTTGTTAAATAATAAACCATTGGGGAACTTTTTCGACTTTCTTCACCAAACCTAAGCAACTTGCCTCATATGCAAATCCTCTTATAAATAAAAATTCTAAATTCAAATAAATTGCTGGCCAAATATCACACTGTCAAAATATACAAAAGAAAAGTAATGGATGTTTCTCGGCACCTTAGTCTCTAATTCTGTTAATGCCCTCATCATAGTCGCATTTTATAGAACTTATCGCTATAAGAAACTTGACGTTGCCCCATATTAAATATCTTATGTCTCATACCTAAACCCAATCCCAAAGTCCGAATAAATAAATCTACAAATTACTAAATTAAATAAACATCTTTCTTTAATTTTCAGTCTCTACAATCACATCAAACCTCCATCTGATATCAAAATAGGCAGCGATTACTCTTTATTTAAGAAAGGCATCAGGTATACAGCGTCTGATTTCATATAAAACTAGATGTGCAAACATTTATTTCGTTTTTCAGACCAATGTGGGAGGATGCGGGCAACAAACAAGGTGGCCGCTGGGTTATTACACTGAATAAGAGTTCTAAGGCAGATTTGGATAATTTGTGGCTTGATGTTGTAAGTACATATTGTAATTTATGCAATCGATAATATCGTATACTACATACACTACTTCATTTTTAGTTGCTTTGCTTGATTGGTGAAGCGTTTGACCATTCTGATGAGATTTGCGGTGCTGTTGTAAACATACGTGGCAAGAATAATAAAATTTGTAAGCTTAACTATTTCTCATTACGAACCTTTGATATATTTATTGTACTTTTTATTTTAACCATATTTAGCTATTTGGACAGCTAATGGCAATAACGAAGAAGCAGCATTGGAAATTGGGAATAAACTGAGAGAAGCCTTGCGTTTGGGCCGTCAAAATTTGAATTATCAGCTACATAAGGACACAATGGTTAAACAGGGTTCGAGTGTAAAATCAATTTATACTCTCTAAAAACTACATACGTTTACTACCCCTCACACATTCATATACATGAACGCTGAAAACCCGTTAGTTAATCGAGTCAAGAAAATATTTAATATACTAATCGTGCGAATCAATAACAATTAATTTAAAGAATCGAAGAACTACAAAAGAAAATTACACAACTAAAATCCACACAACCAAGCCAACCATTGCAAGTAGTCATCGACGTTGGTTATTCAGATATTGAATCGCAGAGTTGGCGCTTCAAAAGCCTATTTCATGGTAGCTGAATATGCAAGAAGGAATTAACGGAATTAAAACCCGCACACCATAAACAAACACCCAAATAATACACCAACACAAATTATACAAGAAAACTTTGTTAAATGAAGATACAAATTTGTTTTACTATAGGAGAGATGGAAGCAGTGGTAGACACAAATGCAAATACAACGCCTATTCCAGGCAAATTAGTGACGATGAAATCTAAAACGCTATTATAAAATTGAAGGAAAATATATTTAATATTGATGATAGGGAGAAGTGATGAAACTGCAAAGCAGGTCTTTCAGCCACAATTATAATCGTAGATATGCATAAAAGCCAAAGGAGCTTGCTTTAAAAACTTGAAGCTTTTCGGGACTGACGGCTTTCATTGTCACTATTTGCTGGGTATGACTTAGTTCGCTTACAATTGTAGTCGTTATCCAATCCTGTGCGTGTTTTAATGTAAACGAATATGGAATTAAATCTAATAAATTTAATAAAACATAATTTATGCAAGTTTTTTAAATGGATATTTTTGCACCAAACGAAATATTTATATCTTTTAGTTGCGGAGCCCACGGTGGTTAATCGGGATCTACTCGAGCGCTGTGGGGACCTATTGGATTTTGAAGATTAAGGGCCGGTTGGTCAATGTCTGATTAACACAAATCGGATCTGATGTACTGGTGATAACCAGAAATTGAACAACCAGCCCTAAATGAACGAAAGAAAAGGTACGTGATGTATTCTTTCAGCGGTGGTTGATCTACAGACGTTCAAAATTGTATAAACAGTCCCATCGAAATACTCTGCCGGTTAGTATAATGGTTGTATGTGGGTGGGAGTACACAATTTACTCAAGCGCGTCATATATTCACAAGGGATGTTAAAAAAGCCCGAATGAAGCTTCCATTGAATAATCTGACGATTCAGATGTGACGCAACCCGACACATCTCTCGATGCCGTGGTCGCGCTGTTCCATAATCTGACGTTTATGTGGAGAGATTTTCTTAATCTGACGGTAAAATATTTTTTTTTCGTATTTAAGGTGTGTAGTCAACCAAACATATAAGCACATATTATTTTAGTTTTTAATTTAATTCGTGGTACTATTATCATGTGACAAATATGAACGGAAGACAGCTGTACAATTTTAAAAAGCAACACGATTTATGCTTGTAGGAGCCGGCAGATTATATACGTAATTCCCGTTGTCTTTTAACATTTTTTTTTGCAAGCTTGCGACCCTTCGACTCCTTTGCATCTTTTCGGCATGTAATTAAACCACCATACCTTGATTCGACGCACTCGAGTAAGTTTGACAAAAATTTTCTTTACTATTATGTGCGGCTGCCCTACATGGGCGGCCCTAGATACATATGTACATATGTATGTAGGGGGCTGCTTTCTTAAACGAACTTATGCAAAGCATTAGTCTCTTTTATTTCTAAATAATGACGGAAATATCCGCCCACATATAATACTTCCACTCCTTAGGTTTGGACTGATGCTGTGCATCATACGGTGTTCGCATGAGGCGATTTTACAGGCAACTTTTAGTTGAAAGCAAAAATCGCCTGGTGTTAACGACTTTTCAACTAATCATTTCCAATGAAGTTGGCGTGCAGCCAACTTTTGATTGAACTAATCGCCTCTAAAATTGCCTCATGCGAACATCGTATTAGTGCGTTTAAGAATAAGGTTGTCCTCAACAGGCTCCAAATCACTTACTATTCCCTTGTCATCAATGGAAAATTCACTACTTCGCGAATTGTATGTATATTTTACAGAGAGAAAGGCAAATGCTTAAAAGGCTATTCTTTGTATTGATGTTAATATTTTTTAAAGGCTTCGAAGTTTGGTAGAGTCGGTGACGATATGTACTGCCTGCTATGAAAAGATATCGTTACAATTAAAACGTTAACACTTTATAAATCCATCATTCATGAACTACAAAAAGCGTGTTAAGCCAAATAAACTAAGGTCGCCCTATTTTATGTAAGCCCACAAATATTTAACGTTTTCGCCGCAGTACATTTTATTTACGTTGATCACTTTAACGGTTAAATACAAATAAATGCTCTTCAAAATATCACGAATATCAGTGAGATATGATATCATCGATTTTACGACGTAAATCTTTGCGACGAGCGCGTTCCAAAGCCTCTTTTATAGTACGTAAATGCATTTTGGGATCATTACAATCATCCTCTTCGTATATTTTCAATACTTTGTAAACCCGTGTACTCAACTCACGAGGGCATTGCAATTCGATTTCGTCCATTGTGCCTTCACGTATTCCTAATTCGCGGCCGAATATACGCCAGTGGGTACCTAAGTGTTGCGAAAGCATCTTATAGATTGCGGCACGTTTCTGTTCAGTTACCACAAATGGATAATTGTTTGAAATGGGAAAACTTTTGGTACTTGAGTTAGGGCAGACGGATGTTTGAACTGAAGCTGGACGTCGCGAGTTATCCCGACAAATATTTGCGTTCATCGTTGCTGTGGTTTGACCGTTTATAGATAGTTTATGTGACAATTCATCTGCAATATGTAAATCATGGTATTGATTGGTGCCTTCTGCCTTGAGCGCCTGAAATCATAAATATGTAAGTACAAAATAACCCCCCTAAATTTTATATCTTATAAACATACGCTTGGCGCAGGGCTGTAAGTTTGGATTGCCTCGTCGAGTTTCTTACTGCCTAAAAGATGCAGGGGCTCAACCTTTTCTTCGGAAATTACATCTCGACGCTCTAAACAGTCTATTAGATCACCCATGGTACGTATACATTCGTAGCGACGTGGGGAACCAATGTCGTTTATAAACATAGATTTTACCTCGTTGATGGAATCTGGCGTCCATGGTTCATGCAGCGCTATTTCTTTGAGAACATCATAAGACCAATGCTTGGCATTTATATCTTCCATTATGTTGCTTTCTCGGAAGATGTCAAGGTATAATTTTTTATATCAAATGCAATAAGGAACTAAGGCGTTTGTTGATAAACATCAACTATGTACATACATATGTATGTTGACGGCAAAATGATTAGGAACCCGATATCCGTTATCAGTTGAAAGGTCTATGTGTAATCACGCATGCATTTGGTTCGTTGAAAGGAATATGGTAAAGATTATGATTTTATATTGATAATCACAACCAAATATCACTTTTAGACCACAAATATAGGTTTTGTATATCCTATCGGCATCAAATCTGTGAAATCAACTATTGCCAAAACAGCTGTTTCCAAATATTTTTTTTTT